AAAAAAAAAAACTTTTCAGAAACACTCTATGTACACACTCTCATCCGCGCTGTGTAGAAATATACTGCCGACATGCTGGCGCGAGCGCATAAAAGTGGCTATTTAAAATTTTGCAGCACCAAAAGTATTTTAGTGCGTACATTTGGAGTGGCGAATTTGACCGGAACCGATAACATGCAGCAAGCCTAGTGAATTTACAGTGGTGCTGTAAAGGAATTCTTATCCACAGAGTTCAAAATTGTTGATTTTAGCAAGTATTTGAAAATTTATTATTGTTAGGACATGTTAACGGTTTGTAAAAAAAATCATAATTTTACCGTGAAAGATGTTTATCTATTTTTCCGATCAAAATTAATCGCTATTTTATTATTTATATTTTTTGATCAAAAATAATGTTTTTTTTTTATTTTTTTCTTAATAATCGTTATTTGGAATTTTATACTTTTTTTTATAGCAAAAATAATAAAATTTACGTATTTGTATCCTCAGAGGCCGAATCTGTAACAAAAACATGTAAATCCAATTAAAAAAAAAAATATATATTTATTTTAATTTTTTTCCACAAAAATGTTCATTAAAAATGGCCTGAAACTCCGTAAAATTATTGAATATAAAAAATAATAGAACAACTATTGTTTTTTATTCAATCATATCTATTATTTTCAGATATATTTTTTTCTGCATGATCGAAAAAATTAAAATCCAAAATGAGGATTATTTTTTTATTGAAAGAATAAAAATCACAAAACTTCGGTCACATTTTACCAAAAAAAGCCCAAATATAACGATTATTCTTGGTCGAAAAAAAATCAAGACATAAATATTCAAAAATGAAAATTCAACAACAATAATGGTTTTATTCGGTAGTAACGCTTGACGATCAAATTTTACCGTTATTTTAGATTTTTATTTTAAATTTTTTTCCCCAAAAATTTTCATTAAAAGCGACCTGAAACTTAATAAAACTGTTGAATATAAAAAATAATAGTTATTTTGAATTTTTTTTTTTTCAATCATATCTATTATTTTCAGATATATTTTTTTCTGCATGTTCGAAAAAATTTAATTCCAAAATGAATATTTTTTTTATTGAAAAAATAAAAATCAAAAAATTACGGTTACCGAAAAAGGCCAGATATAACGATTACTCTTGATCGAAAAAAATCAAGAAGTCAATATTTATAAACAAAAATTCTTTAAATATAAATTTTTCTACCAGCAAAAATCAAAATAATGATTTTTTCGGTTATAACACTTGACGATCAAATTTAACCGTTGTTTTATGATTTTAAATTTGAATTTTTTTCCACAAAAATTTCCATTAAAAACGGCCTGAAGCTCAATTAAATTTCTGAATATATGTATAAAATTAAAGGTTATTTCGTATTTGTTTTTATTCAAGCATATCTATTATTTTCAGAGATATTTTTTTCTGCATGATCGAAAATATTAAAATCCGAAATGACGATTATTTGTTTTATTTAAAGTATAAAAATCACAAATTTGCGGTCAAATTTGACCGAAAAACTTTAAAAATTTAAAGCCTTAAAAACAAAAATTCTTTAAATATAAATTTTGGTACCAGAAAATGTCAAAATGATGGTTATTTTCGATCCCTGGGGCTTTTTAAATAGTAATAACTCTTGAAGGCAAATTGAAATGTTTTTATTATTGAAAATTAAACTAGTCATTTCTTAAAAGTATCTTCAAACAGGCCGCTAATCGAGCAATTAGCCAAGCTTTCTCGATTAAGCTCGATTTATCATACAAAATTTTAATTCTTAACTGTTCGATTAGTGCTTAATTGAGTGCTAATTGAATGAATTTTTTCATGCAATCCTGCTGGATATGTTTAGTTTTAACTTGACTTTGAGGCATGTTTATTTTGAAAAAATAGCAATCAGCTGTTGGTTTCTGGGCCCCTTTTACAGCTGATATTCCATCAGGAATGGAAAATTATTCTCAAGTTGTACCTTATTTGCGGAAAAACTTTACCTAAAAGTAGATAAATGTATGTATATATTAAAGAAAGTAAGAGGATTACATTTCTCTCCGATACGAACTTCTGGACTCACATTAAGTAAATTTGGCTACGAAAAAACGATGTTCTAGCAGTTCGAGACAAAACTATGTTTTCCATAACAATAATCCTTTTCCTCCGAGCTCTTCGATCTGACATTTTAAAAAGAAATATTATCTGTCTATCTGGCGTAATCAACTGTAGTTACGTTACTTTGACCACCCTTTTGTATCTTTTGCCTGCCCCGTCACAAAGGAGTGAGGCTATTGGACAAGTTATCCATGCCAAAAAATACGTCGAAATGTGAATACAAATAACGACTGATTTCTGGATTATTTGACAACGTTAAAATTGTTCCTAAATGGTGTACTTTCAAACTAAATAAAGGCACGATTGTACCAACAAAGAACCTTTTTATTTCTCAAAAAAACCTGGGTAACAGTTATTCGTCGGCACGCTGTAAATCGAGCCCTAACCGCCAATATAACCTAAGCGAAATTTTTTTTTATTTTCTTTTTGATGCCGAAATGCATCTAGATGCTGTAGGAACATTTCCGCATCAAAAAGAAAATTTGTTTAGGGCTCGATATGAAGTTAGTACCAATATATATATATATCTTCTTCTTCTTATTTGCCACTACAACCACTTCTCGGTTTGGGCCGAGACCAAAAAGCTTCTCCAATTGCCTCTAGACGACAAATTATCAGTATACATTATACGCCGATATATATGTATAAGTTATCATAAACGATTAGCTATCAACATATTTATCGATATAGATGTAATTTTTATATTATTTAACAAATTTGCTATCGAATAAGTAGGTAACGATATAGTTTTCGTTTTCATTTTCGTTACATTAGATGTCCCTTATCAAAAATTCACCAGTACACACATACAAAAAATTTAAAAAAAAATTGCTTTATCGGCTATCGTTAGATTAGTTACACAGCAAAACATAGATACCTACATAATTTTTAGGTCAAAATAGTTTCTTTAGTTTGATGAATAAGTAGAATCTGCATAAAATCTACCCACAGTGCAACGAATTATTAGCAATAAACCCAATCGATGCCAGCCAGCGGCGTAGACAAAGCATAAACTTTACATTGTTATGCGGATAAGAGCCATGAATGCGTGCATATATGTACATATGTATGTATGTATTAATGAATGTAAATGTTAACACACACATTCACACTTTTACGCACACACTTTTGCATCCTAAAGCATTTATGTGCGTAATTTACAAAGAAAAGAAAGAAATAGAAGTGCACAAAAAATATACACAAACGATCCGAGTAGCAATCAAAGCGATTGTGGGAGCTGAGCAGCTGTAGCAACCGAGCAGCCTGGCAGCAAGGCTAATACATAAATATCCTTGCACTAAAAGTGCACCGGGCAACATATGCATTTAAGGAGTAGCACGTACAAGCTGCGCGCTTCAAACAAAAAACACACATGCAAGCAGTCTTTCTCCTATACACACATAAACACATATACATATAGTGTATGCATTGTAGATTCGATTTTATATGGAAACGAGCGTCGGCGGACGTTAAGTTTACCATTTTATTGCAACAATTATCCTTATCGCTCGCCAATGTCAATATCTATCGCAGCCAGCAAAAGCAGCAGCAGCTTACATACGTTGCATAATTGTACATTAGGGTGGTCCAAAAAAAGTCAGGTCTCTCATACCATAGGGATATTCTGTACTGAAAAAAGTATATCCCTGCTGTTTTTTTTTGGAATCAAAAATATTTTGAGGTCGCTCAAAGGAGAAAAAACACTTTTCATAGAATCAGTATAGAATTCTTGAAAACCATTATTTTTCGATCGAAAAAGTCTATTTCTCTTCAGGAGACTTACAATAATAATACCCAAGTTTTTTATTTAGCCAATTTTTTATATTAACAAATTTTTATAGGTCACCCAAAATACCGCAAAAGATGCATAAAATTAAAAATATTGACTTTCAAGAATTCTATAATATTTCTACGAAAAAATATTTTTTCCCCCATATAAAACACAGGAAATTTTTGACCTTTTTCACCTGCATTGGACCACCCTGGTAAATATACCTAAGA